ATTCAAACAAGTAAATGAGGTAGATGTAGCTAATATATCGTATTCAATTAATAATTTTAATGGTTTATGTTTTTGATGTAATTTATCTAACTCACTTAATTTAAAAATATATGATATGCCGTTATTGATAATATTTTTCATATTGATATTATCAATTTCAAAATACTGTGAATTCTTTAATTTGTAAGACTTATACACTGGTTTAAATTTACTAATATAATTTTTAATAATATTATTATTTTTTATTTTTAATAATCTAACATCACCTAAATTATAAGATAATACAAGGTTTTTAATGTCTAATGGTAAATCATAAAATATCATAATATATTTAAATCTTTATTTTATTTTAAATGCTTTTTCAAATCTAACATAAAACATATTATTAACATCTTTGGAATTCATATTAACATAAAAGAAGGAGTAGGGCTTATCATCTACCGCTTTATGATACATATTTAACAGTTGCTCTTTATCAACGATGGCGGAGTTTTCCTCAATGAATGACATTAACTCTGATACATTCTTTAACTTGAAGATATACAACGAACTAGAATTCAACCTAATGATTGGAGCAAGGACACGATATTTTTGAACACTTAAGCAAAAACTAATGGCGTCGTGTCTGCCTCTCGTTGCCAGTCCATGAAGTAACTTACTATATCTAACAAATTTAGGGTCGTCTGCAAAATCATCAACAATGATTAAAATTGAATGTAGTTTCTTCATCTTCTGTTCTTTCATATAATGAATTATCTTTCTTTGTGTGTTAATTATTTCTTCCAGTTCTTCAGGTTGGTAGGTGTCATAATATAACTTTTCTTTTTCATCATCAACCTTCATATTATCTTTTTGATATTTCTTGACTTCAACGAAGGTAGGGTCATTATGAACGACGGGCTAAAAATGAATATACGGGCGAAGCAGTCCCTATAAACATTTAGGATAAGGTTTTGAATTAAAACTGTTTTGCCACCCGTTGATGAAGCAACAACAATTGAGCGAAAAGGTAGTTTTGGTACATGTTCATATTTAGATTGTTTGAAATCGTAATCAGTTATATTTATTGGTTTTATTATTGGAACATCAGACATAATAAAATAATATTAAAGTTATTTAGAAAATATTTTATATTTATTATTTTATATGAATAGAAGTTATTCGGATTATATTGATATAATAGATAAAGTAGAAAATATAGAACAAGTAATACTAACTGATAATAGATTTAAAAAAGTATGCTATTTTGTTTTAGAATTAATTAAGTTTGTGATACAATATATTAAAAATATAAATATTAATATAGATGGGGAGAAAGAAAAAGAATAAGACAGAATCAGTTGTTTCTTCAACTGATGAAGAAAAAGAAGAAATTGTTAAAGAAACATCAGTTATTGAGTTTGCTTGTCCAATGTGTAAAAAAATCTTAGAAATGAAAAATGAATTAGAAATACAAAAGAAAGGAAACTGTAAATGTTCGTGTATTCCAACAAGTTTCAAAATAAGTAGAAATGATAAGAAAATGAATATTGATAAAACTAAAGACAGTATAAACTTAGAAACAGATGTTCATAATATTGCTATACGATTTGGGAGGGGATACTCCATCCGATAATGGTGATAAGGAAACTCAGGAAACTGTTAAACAAATAATGAAAAATTAGTATTTAAAGAGTAGATTTAACATAATTGCAACATTTAGTTTTAAAAGTTTAGTTTTATAATTTAGTATATATTTACATGGATGAAGGATTAGATAAGATTGTTAAAAAACTGAACAAGGTTTTAGAACAGAATAAGAATATTTTAGAAATCTTACAAGAAATGGAAAAGAAGAAACCATTAACAAACAGTTATCAAAGTAAAGAAGTAGATAGAACCAATGGTGAATATAAAAATAAGAAACAAGTGTATTTAAACAAACTCAACAACAAAGAGATAAAAGAGCCGAAGTCCTCCACTATGGCATTTTATCAAATTGACTATGATGAAGATACAGGGGTTTATTCATAATATAACGATATATTGAGAAAATAAAAGACCGCACACATACATGTTTGATTTGTAATTGTTGTGTGTCTTGGAGGGCAAAAGCAAGACACGAAAAAACTTTGAAACACCAAAATTATTTAAACGAACTTAATAACAAAGAAATTACAGAACCGAAGCAATCAACAATGGATTATGACAAAATAGAATATGACAAGGAACTGAAACTTTATGTTTAATCATTAACTAACAAAATTTCGTGTCTCAAAAGCGGTTTGTTTATTCCTGCTACTTTGTAAGTTTTATTACCCATAATATCATATTCAATTTTATCGATATTGAATATTTTATTAGACCATTTAGAGTTATACTCCTTTCTGTCGGTGTAATTACCCCTTTTCTTTTGAAACACTTTTACCTTGTCGTTCTCCACTATTCTGGGATACTTTCTTTTGTTTTTTTCTCGTAGTTTAAGATTGACCTTTACATTTATTTCATTGTCGTCCTTGTGTGCATCGGTCGGTGTCATCCTTGTTGATGAGTGTGATGTGCTGTTATACTGTTTCAATGCCGGCGTTAGGGCGTCGGTCCATTTCATGTTGTTAAACCTAACTCTATCGTGAATTTTGTTTTTCATCGTTCTAATAAAACGCTCGGCCACATTTGCGTGGGTCTTCGTGACGATGTGGTTTATTCCTTCACTGTTGAAGAAATCCTGAACTTGATTTTTAGTTGCAAACGCTCCGTCGTCATCAGAATACACGGACATCGGATAACCCATCTTTTTAAAGCTTGTTCTCAACGCCTTCAAAACGTGCTCTCCGTCTCTTTCCTCCATCGGTATTACATCTGCTAATTTACTGAAGATGTCAATCACGACTAAAGCATACTGTGGAACGTTCTTGTCTTTTGCTAAAGGTGACATATGCATTATGTCTATTTGATATTCATATCGTGCGAATGGAGCGGTATAGGAATTAGTACCTCTATAATTTTTGATTTGTTTATTTGGTTGTTTCTTAAGAAAGACTTTACATCGTCTATTGTTATTGTTGGGTCTTCTTCCTTTGCCTTCTTGTGTGTCGCTTGTATGCTTCCGAAACCCTCGTCTAAGTCGTAATAGATGTTGCTGATTATTTGGTCTTTTGTTAATCTCGCCATTATATTAAATTGTTAGAAAATATTTTTTCAATATAAACCACCACCCCTCAACATAAAATAAAAACTACTTAAAGAAAAATGGGTATAATATAGTAAGAGAAAAAAAAAATGACACTGTTTAATTATGATAATTGTCCTTGTAAAAATAAAAAATGTAACTCTGTCGTGGGACTAGCTAATATTTTACCTGTTGATGTTTGTAATCTTATAGGTGGTTGTATTAAACCAACATGTTTTGATTGTCGGTATTTGAGAGAAGAAGAAGAGCATTTTATGAGTGATAAAAACATTCCTGAAGAAGGACTAGAAAAAGCAGAGCTTCAGTTAAACATTATTCAACAAATACAAAATAATGATATTACACAACTAACAGGATACCATTTTAGTTTAAAACATTACAGAAAAAACATTGACAGAGTATTTGATATACAAGAAGTTAAAGAACGGTTTAAAAATAGAAAAATGTATTATCAAGCATTAAAATCATACTGTAAGAATAATGAATATGAAGTTAGTGTAGTTTTAAAACATTGTCTTAAAGTTGAAGAATTAAAATATTGGAAACAAAATGGATTTTGCTTTCCAAACCTAAACAGTTGGTGGTCATATAGAAATAACAATTATTATTTGAGACATATTCTTAGCGAATTAATTGAAATTTACACAGACCAATTAATAAAAGGATACGAGCATTATTTTTGTGAGTATAGTATGAGTTGTTATAGTGGTTGTATCGCTGGTGAGATTGAATACGGGTCAAATTAACTTTTGTTTATTAATATTATTATCTTATAATATGATTAAACATTGTTTTATAATCTAACAAGAAGGTTAAGACATTTAAATTAAACCTGAAACCCAGACCAGTCGACCAGCAACCCCCTAGCCAAAACTACTTAAAGAAATATTACCTTATATATTAAGAGAAAAATGAACGGTGATGGAATCAATAATTATATCGATAAAAAATGCTATGATTGTTGTCACTTCAAAAAAGAAAATATGGAATTGTATAAATTGAGTTTACCTAATGAAATTGTGAATAATATTATTAATTATTCAATGGATGGTGAAGAAGACATATGTAAAAATTGTAAAACTTGGAGAGATAATCAATTTTTAATCAAATGTCTGTTGGGAATAAAAAGAATACATAATAGAAATGTAGAAGATGATATTTTAATATTTCTAACTGTAAATAAAATACCACCTTACGATTATGTTAAACAGTTTCTTAAAATCAGTAAGAAAAAATATGACACGATTTACGATATATTATGGATGTTGGGTTATAGTCAAGAGAAAGGAGAAGATGTTAAAGAAAATATCAAATTATTTATTGAAAGTAAAAAGTTTAATGTTCAGAATACAGTGAGAGATGTTAATATTATTTTTAAAATGATGTATGAAAGAAGTAAGACAAACCAATTAGATTATTATCCTGAACTGAAATTATAATCATAATATAATAATAACATGTAAAATCTTATATGTTATAATTATACTGAACTTTTAACCTATAAATGAAAATTAGTGAGAAAAAACTAACAAAACAAATCCACCGCCAACACCTCAGAACTTGATAACTACTAAAAGGGTTAACTCTTTCAAATGAAAAAAATGTCGGCCCCCAGCCCAACAATGAACAAGGGGGGCAATTACCAAAATGATTACCTTAACGAAAACGATAAATAAGCTCCCTAAAAACCCTCTTTTCAAAACGAACAAGGGGGAACACATATTTGAGATGAACATAAAAACCATAACAGGGGACCATCAACAGACCACCCCCCAGGCCCCCTACTTTTACCATTTTTTAGGGGCGGGCAGGGGGCTAAAAAAAACCGCGCCTGCGGCAGTGGCCGCCATCAAGGCGCAGCTGGCGCTGATGCGGATCTGCTCCTGGTGGACATGAGCTATGGGTGGATGGTCCTGAAAGGAAACCAGCAGGACACCTGATGGAGGGGTCCCCACTTCTGAGAAATACCCCAAGCAAACAATCCTTGTTTCCATCAAAATGGGTGGACCAAATCGTGATGTGGATCGCCTCGGGTCGACGTGTGAAGCAACTACGCCTGGTTTTGTTTTCCTGTCGGTGGTTGCGAAATCCGCTTCGCACCAGTTTGAAACGATAGCAAACCATTGTTTGTTGGTATTTACCGGGGAAGCATTACCCCAGGGTTTCTTAGGTGGTGCAGGATTTCCCGCACCAGACCTTCCCGAAATGAAGGGGGTGGGAGCCCTCCCTTGCAACCCATTTAGAGCGCAAATTGGAGGACATCACTTTAATGCACTCCAGGCCCTGTAAAACTTGGATACAACTCTGTGCCTTAAACAGCGGAGTACCTCCAAGACCCAGTTCCAACCAGTGACCCAAAAGGAAGAAACAAGGAAGCCCTTTTTGGAGGAAACAGGCTGATAAGACACCTGGTACTTTTGGCGATTTTTAGCTGTTTGCTGACACAATGCAGAAAAGCCAGGGAAAAAAAAACGTGTGACGCAGCTTTCGCCTCCATTATTTTTATTTTTTATTTTCAATCAGCCTGTGACCTTTTCGGAGGAGACCGTTTTGCTAGGGAGCCCACCTTCCAAGGATTGGAGAAAGGGCACAACTTCCAAGTGGGAAGGACCACGCAGGGCTTGCACACCAAAGCACAACTCACTTTCTTGTCAGCCAAGATGTGTTCAGAAACACAACAAATTTATGACCCTTGAAATTGCGAAACAATCACTGGGGGCAACCTTGCCGTGCATTCGCAAAAAGAGATGCCTCAACCGACACAAGAGGTGATTCTGTTTTCGAGTCGGTGGGAGGCCATCCATCGGATTCCCATCTGATATGGGTGTGCCTCCGGTGGGGGTCCCGACCACGGTGTCCTAAGCGAACCCAAAACAGAAGGGCTAATCTTGCGAAAGCGTGACTCAAGCTTCCAAAGATCAAGGAACACCGAACGCCAAATCCAGTGCAAGATTACCAAGCCAATGATCAACCCGTGTGTCTTCATGTTTTAGATGTGGATGAGCCCTGGATGAGAATGAGAAGGGAAGCGTGGCCAAAACTGACACTCCTATTGTGACCATGAGCCAGCTAAAATGACCAGTTTCATGATCCCGGAAACGTGTTGACATGTATTGAGCATGCCCAGCTACGCACACGGTACTTGGATAAGCTATGGAACATTTGGATAAGATTGGCTTTACACGCTTTGACCACCTGGCAATGTTCCCATGGTCGTGCAAAATAGACCGTTTGTGCGAGACTAACATAGGGGCATCCCCGGGACAGGACTACCTTAGATTCCCTACACAAGGCCCCTCCATGCATACTCCCCCACACGCACAAAAGGACCCGACAAAAAGGCAATGGCAAAAGTCATCCCCTTTTCTGCACAAGCCTTCTGGCTGGCCGAAACGTCTGGACCCCCTTCACCCCAAAACGGGCACCATAAGACCACACACAAACACACAACAAACCTCAACGTGAGCACCCAGCCCTTGAGGAAGCCACACAGAATTGATACCCCTCCCATCCGCTAAGACAAAACCTGACTGAGGAGTCCAAGACGATTCTTTTTAAAAGGTACCCTCCGGTGGGTACAGGAGGCTAAAACACACACACATTCCTTCCCAACCCAAAAAAAAACCACCCCCTCGCGTCTTTGCGCCATTTTTCTGCGGGGTTCCACACCCACCGAAGCGGCTCGGAACGGACGCCCGGGTCCTTCTTGGACTTCCCGGCCACCTTCGCGGCCACCAGCGCCGCCGCGCCGGCCGCGTCTGAACGCGAGCGAGCGTTTGGGCGAGGGGAAGCTACAGAGAGGCAGGCGGAGCAAAAACGCTCAGCTGGTTGTGGTTGTTTTGGTTGTTGTGGTGGTGGTTGTGGTTGTTTTGGTTGTTGTGGTGGTGGTTGTGGTTGTTGTGGTTGCTACAGGGATTGGTGTTCGACTTTGAAGCTTTTGGGACCCCGACCAAACTTGGGCCAAGGAACACTGAACGGTTGCTCTTCGGTCCACAAAGATGGAATCTGACTCAAGGGTCGCGGAAGATTAGTTTACTTTAAAAGGGACACTTTGGTGGGTTCCAGGGCAACGTGGACAGGAGGATAAAAAGTCGGCTGTGGACAGCTGAGCGCATGAGGCGAAACCAAGCATGCTCTGGGGTAGGACGCTTGCTTCAAACGCATACCATCAAACCCGGCGAGCCCAGAGCCTCCGGCCCTCGGCTTGTCTTAAAGGAGGAGGGTACTTAGCAAGTGGCTAGTAAGCCGGGATAACAAGCCATGGTTGTAAGTCTCGCCCCTTTAAGCAGCCAGCAGGAATGATCTAGTACAAGCCCCCGACTTTCCTTAAACAAGGAGAACATGATTCCAGTCGTGACTTCGATTCCAGCTTTAAAACCAACGAGGGAAAATAACCCACCTTAAGCAAATGGAAGTCAGCAAGTGAGTCATGAAGCCATCAAGCCACTTCTGGCTCATACAGAACCCCTTCAGCTCACAACCGACCAATGCAAATCCCGTTGATCCATCTTCCTGGTCCCCAAACGATGGCCCAACCTTTCCCGACTTGGTAAGAAAATCATCCAACCTCTTTTGTGGCTTCCCAGCCGCTGGCCGTCCCATCCCATGGGTCGCCCCCCCCAAGCCCCGTCGACTCGACGCGCCACCTGCGGCGGCGGAGCGCTGGGCGAAGTCCTCGGCGCCGAAGGCGGCCATGGCGGCGGAGGCCGCCTCCGCGGCGGCCATGGCTTGGGGCTCCACTGGCCTCGGGGGGTTGGGCCGGGGGTGGGGGTTGGGGTGGGGTGGGGTGGGCTGGCGGGGAGGGAGGGGGATGGGGGGGAGGGAGGTTGGGGGTGGGGGGTGGTGGGGGGAGGGGTGGCGTTGGGGATGGGGGGGGGGGCTCCAAATGTTTCCAAAAACATCAAAAGCAGACTCTCTTCATAATGAAGCCGGGGTGGGAAATGATGACTGTCATAAGTATTGACTTCCCGGCAAGTGCCGGCCATGGTTCAGCTCACGAGAAACCGACATAGCCCTGAGTCGGCACTGACTTAGAAGTCCACGCGACTGAAACGACCTTGCAAACCAACAACCGCCAAGTGGAGGAGGATCTGTCTCGAAAACCTGGTTTTCGGCCATATAGCCTCCAAAACCAGGTTTGGTTCCCAAAACAAGGTGTTGTATTTCAGAACCTGTAAATAGCCCGCAACTAACCCGTAGACCCCGTTTTCTGAAACTCCGTGTCCAAACACCAGGTGTTGGATTGGAAAACCGGGTTGTTTGCCAAACCTCTTTTTCCCAGGTTTTGATGTGCAAGGGAAGGATGCAAGCATGAAGGTCAAACAACAGCATGTTCTACCAAATCCCAGTGTGCTTGGAACACAAACGAACGACCAGGGCAACGCCACAAAGGCATCAACATGTCAGAATTGTTTCAAGCGTTCAATCAGCCGCAGTGGATGCTCTAAGATGTAGTGGAGATGCAACAAAAGTTGCGGAAACAGTGTAGATGTGTACATGTGTGTGATACAACTACATTGGTCTAGGGCCCATGGCTACGAAAACATTATACATGATCAACTAAGAAAGCATACGCATATCTATCTCTATATATATATATATGCGATTATTTTGTGATACAACTTGCACCATCGTCCTCCAATGGGATTCGCGCAACTGCTGTACTTTGGCCTTCAGCTTGCATCCTTCGCTCATCTCTGCGGACTGCCTGGAGCTATGTTGGCCTCTCATGAGAATGTGATTGAATAGTGGGTCAAAACGGTCCAAACACGGAGGTGGAGAACCTCAGAGTAAGACGTCGCTTGAGGGCCAGAAGTTGCTTTAAGCCAAAACGGGGAGCGGGGGGGACTCCAGGAAGGGAAGGGTGGGGGCTGGGGAGGGTGAGGTGGGGTGGGGTGTGAGTCCGCGGGAATGACTGGCATAAAAGGGGAGGGTTCCTCACAAAGAAAACTGCAAACTAGAAGAAATGGGGCTTTGTGTCAAAATAGAAAGCCACGAACAGGGTGACACTTCCCACATGGGGAAAGTTTCCCATGGTCAAAATTGGAGGCCGAACGGAATATTGATCAACCCCCAAACCTTTAATTACCCAAAACAAAAGCAAAGGAGATATGCAGTTCCTTATTTCTTCTACTCCCCGTATTTAGCGCCCAAGTGTCTTTAACCCCCATCTCCCTGTCCTCCAATTGCTTTTCCGCCCCTGGAAAAAAGAGAACATGTGCAATAGTGAATTCGATTCCAACTTTAGAACCAACAGGGGAAACAACACAATGGAGATGATCTTCCCTTGGAAACAAGCAAAACAGGTTCCCTTAACAAACCCCTCAAAATATTCTTAACTACCCTGCCACTTACTACCAACATAAATCATAAAACAACATGTGTTTAGCATGTAGTAACGCAAACCCTTCCGCTTACTAATCAAACAAACAAAGACAAGAATGACAATAACAAAAATACTGTTATTGCAATGGCAACACAAAACGACATAAGGGTTTTAGCATGTAGTGACCTATAAAGACCAGACTTTCCGCCACCGGCTGGCTCTTCGCTCTTCTCATCTCCCGTCCGCGGCGCTTCCCCGCCGCCCGCGCGGCGGCGGCCGCCGCGGCGCCAGCGGCGCCCGCGGCGGCGTGGCCCGGGTCCAGGCCGCGGAGCTGCGCCGCGGACGCGGCGGCGCTTTGGGCGGCGGAGACCTGGGGCCGCGGCACGGCCCAGGCGTTGTGGGGAATGAAACCAAAGGAAACCATAGGATGCGAAGGCTGCCTGTAGGGGTGGTGGCTCGTTGCTGGCGAGCCAAAAATGCTGTTGGCGCAACAAAGGCTGCAGGTTGGCAACGGATGGGTGGCGTATAAGGGTTCCCCTGAGCACTAGGCTGTTGGTCTCCCTTTCCCTTTTTGCCAGCTAAAAGGACCCTTCCCCAAAGTTACTTTGGTCTCCGGGTTTATTTTGGCGGCTGGAGTTGTATGACGGATCCCATCCGCCTCAAGGACATGTATCTGGGTGAGATACTTATTGAAGCGGGGTACATAGTAAGTGGTTAGCAAGCCTGGTTGTAACCCAGAAAAGCCACGGTTCTCAGTCTCCGTTGAGTGGGTTTTTTCACCAAGCCTACTAACCACTTACTAAGTACTAGAGTGAAGCACAAACCCCTACTTTAACTCTAAAGGCAAAATCATTAGAATGGGGGAGTTGGGGGACATATTTTAACCCCGTGTCCCTTTAAAACCAACCATGGTCAGGTCCAAGGTATTTGAGGGTTCACCAAACGCGCTCGGTGGGTTTGGATGGTGCCTTTCGTCTCCGTCTGCTGTAATGCAGGTGGTAGGGTTCTCGGACACCAAGGGGCAAACTATTGGTAATGAGTTTGCTATAGCCTTTATGGGAAGGTTTCAAGAAACCGGAGGGATTTCGGGCCCCGCCGCATGTGCTGCACGCGTGGCGTTTGTGCGTTGGTTTGCATCTTCAAGGTGAGTCAGAACCAAAACTCTTCTTGGAGTATATCAACGGTATCCAGAAGGGAATCGAGCATCTGGAGGGCTACAGAGCTTTTAGGATATGCCCAAACGCATGTTTGGCAGGTTTATTTTTGTAAAGCGGCCCACCCTTCAAACCGAGAACACTGAAACGTGCGGAATCTGAAACAACCTCCATCTGCTTCAGCATCCCGGTAAAAACAAAAAACATTCCCTGTAAACAGGGGAACACACACACACACTTACTTTAAGCAAATGGAAGACAAAAGACATCCTAAGCAACTGGAAGACAAGTAAGGGTTCCTCGCTGGTTCCAGGAACCAGTCGGACTCCCTTTGGCGCCTGCTCCTTGGCGCCCTTCTTCTCCGCCCGCTCCGCCGCCGCCGCCGCCGCGCCCGCGGCGCTGGCGGCGGCGGTCGCCGCCGCCGCGGGGGCGGCCGCGGCGGCTGCTGCTGCGGCGGCGTCGATCTGCTCCTCGGGCGCGGTTGGTTTCCGTGTAGACCAGGGGACTCCAACATTCCCAGAGGGAAAAACTTGAAATGGCCATGCAGTTGAGGAAGTTTTTCTTTTTTCTTTCCGCCCTCAAAATTGGTGGCGGTCCTTTTCTTTACCTGTAAAACCATCCATCCCAAAAAAGATAGCCTCAACAAAAGAAGTCCATCTTTCTCCCCTTTCCATTTCTACTGGTTCAGAAAGGGTCCTGGCCATAGGTATCCTTGTGGACAAATAGATGGGTTGTCCTGGTAAATGGGGCATAAACCCCATCTAAACCAGTGCCTTTAAAAATATATCATAATAATATTATATAAATAAAAAATAATGAGAATACATAGTAATAGTATTTAATAATAAAAACAAAAAAGACTGACCTAAAAAGGCCACCTATGGTCCTGGCCCCTTGGCCTCCGTCGATCTCTCTTCGCTCCTGGGGGCTTTTCCCGGCGCTGCGCGCGCTGGCCGCCGCCGCAGAGCCCGCCTGCTCGGGGGTCATGGCCTGGCCGCGCAGCGCCGAAGTGGAAAGCTCCCAGGTGGGACACAAAACCACGGGTGAAGACATCAAATGGATGGCATATCAAACCCATCTTTTGACCAGTGGAACCCTTCTTTTTTGACCAAAACCACCAATCCAGAACTACCTTCCAATTCCATTCTTTCCAGGGATCCGAATCTTTCTAGAAAACTTTCGGAAACCCACGGAAAACAGCTGTCTTGAGAAGAACTAGGGTTGAAAGGAATGGGGAATCAACCCCTAGAACTATATAAGGGTGAAAAAATCAAATGGATGGCATATAAAACCCATCTAAACCAGTGACCAGAACAAGGAGGGGACCCCTGGATGGCAAATAAAACCCCAAATTAGTGGGACCCTTCTTTTGACCACAGGACGTGGATATCCCCTAACACACCCTAAACAAGCTGTCTCAAAACCTGGCACACAATGGTGAACCAAGAACCACGTACAGAATTATTAAGGCCTCAACTCTTTCCGGCTGGAAGGACTGCCACTTACTAACCTTCATCTACCCAGATTTTGATTGTGTCAAAGTGGAGAGCTCCCACAATGCTTGGCTTCCCTTAAAGTCAGTGGCTAGCCTGGTCATGATTATAAGTACCCGACCGCCCCTTTCGTGCCAAGCAAAAGGAAGTCCACATTTTGAGAAACAGCCGTATGCCAAGCCATGGCCGGGACCTCCCAATGCTTAAGCCGTGCTTCGCCTTACGGCATACGGCAAATGAAAGCTACGGGGTCTTCAAAAAAGATCCGGAGAGCAGCTTCAAGGTCGGGTCCCGTCTCCTAAGTTCACTTTGGGTTGCGAGAACACATGCCCACCCTTTTGGTTCAAGCATCCGGCAAAGCATGGGTGCCCAGTTGGGTTTGTCTCATGCCTGAAACCCCTGCACGCAATTGAAGAGATCCAGTCCGCTTCAGTTTCAATTCGCACGTGGCGCAAAGCCCCCAGCAAAGGGAGGCCCATGTTCATTGCTTTTCTTGCGGCTTCCCTGTAGCACAAACTTACTTCATGCGTCCGTCCAAAAGAAAGAACCAAACTTCCTTGCCCCTAAAATGGGTCCTTTCCGAAACATAGTTTCCAAAACTATCGTCCGCGAGTTTGGACCTTAGGGGGTGCCTGAAGGCCATGCGGTTTTTCCAAAAGGTGGGAATCGGTCAATTCCTAAACCACCAATCCAAACCACCAATGAAATCAACTGGTCTTTCAGTAGAGAGGATAGAATAAGGGTACCCTTTTTTGTAGTCTATTTTAGTGGGAACCCTCCCCCACAAAAGGGTAAAAGGGCACTACTCGGGGACGTAGGCATTTCAGGGGTACCTGATGTGGAGTGAATAAACCAAGAGGCCCCCCACAAAGAGGACGTGGCCAGTGCCTGGCCAGCCTGTACAGGCAAAGCCGGTGGCCTCAGTTGCCCCCCGTTTCTCAGGTTTAACGCGTCCGTCGACGCAATGTTTTGCCGCCAAAAAAGGGGGAAATCGCTTTCTGATGCGAGAGATGCAGGGAATGAGAAATGGAATGACCCGTATGAACCATCCCCTATGGTTTCCTTTAAGGATTCATTCCCGCATTCCCTACCTATCGCACCAGCAAGATGAAGAAAACCCTCCCACACCCCAACCACTGCTTTTCGGACAGTTGGGGGTTTTGGACATGGAAAACAGCAGTGGATGCTGGTCTTGGTCCATTGACTGTTAGACTCCTGTTTCCCAAAAGGGGAATTAGGCAAACACGTTAGCTCAGTCCGAGTGGTTTTGACTGCTTTCTGTGCCTTGCTCGCTTTGTCCTACCGCGCGTCATGAGCAGCCATCTGGGCGGATCTTGGTGAACCAACCGAAAACCACAGATTCCTGCAGCGATAACTTTCATGGGATCGGTTGACCCCTGGCAGGTAGGACTCGGTTGACTTTGGAAGGGGAGCAAAAATTGAAATTTTAGCAGTTAAGTGGGGATTTCCCACTAAACCACAATAAGCAAAAATGTAAACTGTTAACCACGAGGTTGCGATTTCATTTGGCCAGAACTCCCAGCTGCCTAAGTCGCTGGCGCCATTTCTCCAAGTCACCAGGTTGCAACCAGTGACCCTGGTAGAGAGGGGACACCTCTTTGCGGTTGTTGACATTTGGTGGGGAGCCTAGAAAAAAAGAAACGAGTTTCCACTACACAATCAACAACTGTTTCCTGCTGCAGCTCAAGTCAAGAAATTGGGCACCCGCCACTTGCTATGCAACAACTGTTTCGATACGATGAAAGCCTGAATAAGGTTTCTTCACTTTGACCTCCTTCAAAGCGCATCCTATCCAGATTTTCCCAAGTTCTTCACTATTCGCCGCCAGGGTTTTACCATCCTTCAAACTCAGTGGGTGGGAAGATGCACAAAAATCCCCAGCTGACTACTTTTTATAGCACATGACGCAGAGTTGACTCCAAACTTCTATTGGCCATGGGAACACAGGGGACAACCTTCTTTGGCTGCTTGAGGACTAGGCTGAAAACCATCCTTTCAGCATTTGGGGGACTGCCATGGAAGTGACATTCTTACCTGCAACATGACGAAGGGAAGCCATGTACAAAGGAATTCTAGGGAACCTCTCAATCACCCCAATAAGGCTGCCTATATTTCCCCGTCAATCATCACCAAAAGGAAGCTCAGCACAATTCGTCCAAAGACTGGTGTTTTTAACTAAGGCCAAAGGGAAACAAGGGCATGTGTGTCGAAAAAGGGGAGCCACTAAATGTGGCCTTCCGTTTGGAACCAGGCACCCCTATGTTCTGTGCCGAGCGCCGTTCGTCGAGCGCCCGATCCGAGGGCCGGGCGGTTCTTTGGCCTCCGGCTCACTTGCCTCTCGAAGCACTGGAAGAGCAGCAGGCGTTGGAGATGTGGATGGACGAAATCAGTTCGCACCACTTTGAAACCATGGTTGGAGCCATTGCTTGTTGGCATATGCCATATGGAATCGAACTATTCCGGGGTTTCTTAAGGCAACACCAACATAGGAGAACAAAACGGCCAGCAGCTCAAAGCTTGGCTTCGAATAACTGGGAAGCCTTCAAAGCTGAACAGGGCCCCCTCGCCTGCATCTGCTTCTGCTTCTGCTGCTGCCTCTGCTCCTGCTGCTGCTTCTGCTTCTGCAGCCTTAGTCAACCAACTGACCCGACAGAAAGCACCAAGCGCTGGGCACCACAAGTTGTAAACAAGAAACATGTAGAAGCTAGCACGGCCTGGGTTCCTCTGACCATCGGCAAAACCGCTCACAGGTGAAAACTGGTAGTCCCCAAAGAAGCTCGCTCATATATATATATATATAAGATAGCAGTCTGAGTTCTTCGTGTTTGGGGAGTTACCCTTCTGTTCCCCTGAAAAATGATTCACCTGAACAACATGAACACAGCAACAAGGGTCAAAGCTATTTTCTTGACAAGCTGCTCCACTCGTTGCTGCTGTTCTGAGCGCATGAGCTCCTTCTGCCGCTCCTTTGGCAGGATTGGGCAACACTCAGGTCATTTAAACATACTACTATAGAAAAAGGGAAGCCAAGGTGAAAACGATTCAACCAGCACAGGTTTAAGCATGTTTCAGCTGTTTGGCCCTACCTTATGCCGAACCGCGGTGACGTTGTTTCGGCAAACCTGCTCTGTAAAGTCGGGGGAGGGTGCTTTTCATGGTCCCATGATACCCGTTGAACCTTGGTTGTCCTCCCCTCAAACCCAGCTTCGCGACGGCCCGACAGAGACAATTGTGCCACTCGTCCTCCAAGAGCTTTTGCTGAGTTGACTCTTGCTGCTTCATCTCGTGCCTTAAGCGGCAAGGACGCAATACCCCCGGTTTAGGAAGGCTGCCTTGGAACAAAGCGGGGTTTGGCGCCCAAATGATGAATGTACGGAGCAGCAGGTTTGAGCGCTTCAAATGGGTTGGTCTCTAAATGAGGCTTTGTGTCCTTCCCCCCAAAAATGGCTTCATCTTGGTGTCCCTTGAAGCAGCTCAAAAAGGGTACCCCGCAAAAGAGATAAACCATCTGGCTGTTGAGAGGTTCACCGAATCACTTTGTCACCGAGCTCAGTGTGCACTTGCCCGGACTGCAAAAACCACAAACACAAATTAACACATATGCATTGTCCGTTGAGGTCACTGCAGCCCAGAGCCCTGAAATGCCAAAGAATGGTCTTGGGGACTCAAGCGTTTGAATCCCTCGTGGCCCAGCATGTCCTCAAAAGCGGCCAACATGAAGAAAGCCGGGCATCGGTGATACAAATCAATTTGATCGAACTGGGTTCCGTAAAATGTTCAAACATAGTGTGTGGGCACAACATGTGGAGTAAATGGTCCCTTTGGAACCCCCGATCCATGACCAACCCCAGCAACCCGCAAGTGAGAGGCAGTGCGACCCCAAATTTGGCCATCCCGACCAAACGCCATGACGGTATGACTTTAGAGGAGATTCCCTTAGCACAGTGGGTCACCCCCCTTGCCCATGCACATGTGCCCAATGAAACGTCTTTCCGCCAAATCAAAACTCACATGGTTCGTCACCAGGTCATGACTGCAGCCAAGAGAACTTGGGGGGACAGGGCCGGACCCTGAAGAGAAACACCGCGCCGCCACCAGAGGCCAACACATACTATCTAGAATCACTTGCTTCATGTGCTCCAAACTGGTCAGCCTGAGGCCTGGTCATTTGACGTGATTTTGCGTAATTCAACAAATCCAAATACTGGATCGATGACAGCCCGTAGCACATAGAACAAGCTAGCCAGGTGGTCGGCGCAACATAGGGTTGAGTGCAGGGCGGCCACTCTAAGAGTCATCAAGGCATTAACGGTTCGGGTCCGTCTCCCCAGCCGTTTGTTGGCTGCTCGGCGCAAGGCAGGGCTTCTGGTTTCCCGAGAGGGGAGATAGCTCGCAACTGTCAAGAAAGTGGACGCACTATCCCGAAGTTCAACCACCTCTCCGAAAAGCGCGCGACGCTGCAAACGCTCGGCTGCAAGAAAGCTGGATCGTTCATAGCTCTAGGCAATAAGCTCTCTGTGCTCCACATGGAAGGCCATCTCCAACCTGTTGCAAGGCCACTTTCCTACCAATGACATGCCACTTTGTGTGGCCCGCAGACCGAAGCCATTTCCCAAACCAGACGAAGAACCAAACGCGTTGAAACCACCCAACAGCTGGCACCCTTAAACAAGACGCCACATGACGTGTGTCCATGTGGGGTCTGCAAGTAGGCTTCCGAGGAGTTTCGGACTGAAGTCTGCCACGGTGCAAAGTCTGGCGCTGGACTTCCTGCAGGGAGATGAAGTTGTGGAATTGCACAAGGCAAGGACCCCCTCAAACATGGTCGGCGCAAATTTCAGTCGCCCAAAAGGACAAGGTTAGTTTTTGGGGGTCACTAAAAATGTTCCAAAAGGTCAAACAGTCAAACACTTGAAATACCACATTCAGTATTAGGGTCGTCCAAACGCCAATCAAGCTTTACGCAAATCCTGTTTACAGTTGGGTGAAAGTAGCAACATGTCTATCAGTTTGGTCACTTGTCATCCCCTCTACTGATCAAAGGAGAATTATGCCGTCTACTTTCACCTTGGTGCAACAAGAGGTTGAGGGGCCGTGGGGAAACTTTGTGGGGGAAACTGTGAAACACAGGCGAAATCTAGCGGTCTAAGATGGTCTAAGGATATTTGTATTTGGCCCTGGGACAATTCGGAAAATGCACACATGGTCCAATCTGGCCGGATTTCATCTAGGAATGGTACAAAACTCGCGAAAGCCTTTGTACTCAAGCAGTCTAAGAAGGGCTCCGCCCCGAAACCAACACCCCCACCAACCCACTTGCCCCAAACAAACACGTTGCCTGTAATAAATTTGGAGCAAAAGAACCACTCACCCTTGCCCGCCCGCAACAAACTTTGAGCACAAGAACCAGGGAACCAGAACCAGACTCGGCCCAAACAAAAACAGTGCCTACAAGAAATTTGGAGCAAAAGAACCGCACCCTCAACCCTCACTCCCCTTGACCCTCACTGCAACAAACTTCCTCAAATCGCTTCGTCGCCTCTTCCGAGCGCAGCTCGGGCTGCTGGTGGGACAGGTCCGCCAGGGAGCTCTGCAAGCGGGTCAGCTCTTGGTGGGCCTGGCTGAAAGCGATGTTGGGGGCTGGGCTCAAGGCGCGAAACCAGTAGGGCTGGGCTGTTCAAAATGGCGGGTTGGCCCATCCTAATCCATAATCCCTCAGGGATCCGGATGCATTCTACACCTGAACATTGCAACCTGTAAATGGTGGCGTCCAACTTTATTTTGGTGGAAAAAAAACATGCTTCAAATGG